GAATGTGCGTGAGTGTGTGTGTGTGTGTGAGTTTGTGTGTGTATCATGTGAATGTGAGTGAGTGTGTGTGTGTGTGTGTGTGTGTCATGTGAATGTGCGTGAGTGTGTGTGTGTGTGTGTGTGTGAGAGAGAGTGTGTGTCCCATGTGAATGTGAGAATGTGTGTGTGTGTGTGTGTGTCATGTGAATGTGAGAATGTGTGTATGTGTATGTGTGTGTGTGTGTGTGTGTCATGTGAGTGAGTGTGTGTGTGTGTGTGTGTGAGTTTGTGTGTGTATCATGTGAATGTGAGTGAGTTTGTGTGCGTATGTGTGTGTGTTATCGATGCTGTAATAGGTGGGTGTGGCTCTGAAGCTCCGCCTTCTTTGACATCATTGTCTGAACTTCTTCTGTTCAGTTGGTGGAGGTCGGGCGTCAGCGAGTAAAGTCATGAATACCCCGGGGATCCGCTTTATAGTAGAGTTGTAACTCTAACTGAAAGCAACACTAACACTGTCTCTTCATGTTTGATATTGTAAAGCTTCTTGCTTTTAAACAACTTATTGTATAAAGATGCTTTCTGAACTGCTGTTTTCTCATTTCTGTTGTGTGTTTATGTGTTATTGAGAGGAAAGAGCAGCACATATTCATCTAAACGTCACTCTCAGCAGCTTATTTTTAATTCGCTGTGAGTATACCGGGCCTTTAAAGGGTTAGTTCACCCCAAAATGTAAACTCTCCCTCATGTTATTCAACCCCGTAAGACTTTCGTTCATCTTCAGAACACAAATTAAGATATTTGTGATTAAATCTGAGAGCTGGATCACTCCTCCATAGGCTTCTAAGGGATTGAAACTGGCCGGCCCAGAAAAGTTAGTAAAGACATCGTTAAAATAGTCCGAGTGACTACAGTGGCTCAACCTTAAGTTTATCAAGCGACGAGAATACTTTCTGTGCGCAAAAATAACAACTTTATTCAACTATTCATTTCCTTCTCTGTGGGCCTCGAGTGAGTTCACGTAGTGTAACAGCGCAGCGCTTCTGGGTTTTACGGGGTTGGAACAACATGAGGGAGAGTAATTTTTGGGGTGAACTATCCCTTTAAAGTGCTATATAATGCACTCCACACACTCAGTGCCGTGAAAAGAGCAGATGAACAGATGAACACACACCACTTTCAGGTTGGCCTCCTGCAGTTTGCGCGCTCTCTCCTCCAGACGCTTGGCGATGACGGCGAGTTCGGTGTTCTTCTTCCTCAACCTCTTCACCTTCTCCTCCGTCTCTGGAGAACTGCTCTTCCTCTGAGGACACACAACAGAGAGGATTTGAGACACTCAAAACCAGATTTAAGATTGTTCAAGGTGGTGAAATATATAAAGCAACACATTTGGTGTTAAAAAGGCGCAGTTCCATTACAGATTTGCGATTTTTTTCTAAATATCGATAAAAAACTATTGCGAAATGACGGCGTTTCCATTAACCGATGTTATGCGACTAAAACATCATTTTTTCCTCTCGGGATCAGTCATTCTAAACATCATGGCAACGGGCGTTGGTAGGTTTATATATATCAGAGCCACCCCACTAGACATTATTATTATTATTATTAATGGAAGGAGACGTGTATGTGTGTGTGTGTTATCCAAGCATTAAACACCCGTATACTGTGAACGGCTCATTTGAGGAGTTTCTGTGTTTCTCCTCATTTCTGCTTCCAGCTCGTGATTGTGGCGTTTCTTTGAGGTTTAGAATCCAGTATTCCTGTAATTCTTTTGTCTTTTATGAGTTTAATAAAGAACTCTTTATTAATTTCATTTTCATAGGGGGGGGGCACACTTTTTATGATCTACAAAACAGACGGTCACAAAAACAATAACATCCTCTATTTAGTCTAATATAACTGAAATAGACCAAATTCTATATTTAAACAACACCAAAACACAAAATATTAAGTTTCTGATCATAGGCGGAGGGTGAACCAACACCATGAGGATGCGCTTCCCCTTTAAAAACATTTACTAGGCTATATGCAGGATTTGACATGGCAGAAAGCTCGCAAAGAGCACCTATTTTATTATCTTTAAAAAGCGGTTATACAACTTCATCGCGATCTCACAAAGTTCCTAGGCTATCAGTAAAGCTGATACACAATAATGCCTTATTTCCATAGCCTAACTGCTTATTATAACGAGAGGATTTGCACACGCGTAGATCCACTCACCGCTCAAAACACCGGAGTTTAGCCAATATTCTTTTATTACGGAGAAAACTGATCCTAGACCAGCATTTATGGACAGCTTTTCCCTCTTAAAAGATGATTGCGACTTTTTAACTCACAATTCTCACATGGATTTCTCACAATTCTGACTTTATAACACGCAAATGTGACTGTATATCACTCAACTCTGACTTTATAACTTGCCATTTTGATTTTATATCACGCAATTCTGAGAAAAATTACCTTTTTCTACGTGGAAACAGTAGGCTGTTTTTAGCAGGCAAATGAATCAGAAAATTCGACAAGCCGCTTGGCCAGGGGAAGGTAAGCCTTGCGCAGAGCCTTACATGCTCCGACTAATTTTCATATTTCTGAAGACAATGTGTTATTTAAAATTACAGAGATTAGTGCACCTGTGTGCTGAATGCTGCTGACGACATTTCGTTATGGAATACGTGGATACGTTTTTTTGCGATAAACGGGAGTTTTTGCGAAATTGACGTGTTTCCATTGTGCGTATTTTCAATTTGCGCAATTTGAAGGGTAATGGCAACGCGGCTAGTGTTGCACCACAGGACTATTCCTGTAAAATGCAAACAAACTAAAATATTATTAGATATGATCAAAAAATGAAAGTCTTAAAGGGCTAATGCTATTTTCCTTGATTCATAAATACAAGGAATGCTAGAAGTGCTCACGGGGTGTAACTTCAATGTCTCGGTGCTCTTTGGGTGTAGGGATGGTTTAGTCATTTTACTGGTGAGATATACTTTCTTTATAATATTTTCCCTGTGCCGCATGACCAGGTGATCGGCGATTGCGGTTTAAAATAACTCTGCTTGTATCCGTTACTCACACCCTGATGAAGGCTATTTTCCTTGATCTTTATACAAATATTTGTTATTTATAAATGTACAGTTTGCTGGTCATTTTCACTAAATAAACCCCGATATGAAGAATTTTAAGTGCTGCAATGCTTTTTGCCAAATAAATTAATACTTGCACATGCAATATCAATTTGTCCAAAATGACTGTAAATATGACAGCCCATTTCAGTATAGAAAATGTTAAGGAAAAACAAAATCTTGATTAACATTATACTATTAAAATGTTATAGTAATAGTATCGTAATAATAATATAATATATATATATATATTATTTTATTTTATTTTAAAATGTTTAGTTTTCACTTATTTTTAGTAATTTCATTGCTTTTACTATTTTTTACCGTTTTTATTGTTATTTACTAGTTTTATTACAAGTGAAACTAAAAATGAGAAATGTTCTATCATCCATCCATACACACACACACACACACACACGCACGTGTGTAACATCATGTACAGCATGAGTGTGTGTGTGTGTGTGGATGGATGGATTGATGGATGAACGATAGAACATTTCTCATTTTTAGTTTCACTTGAAGTACTAAAATAACTAAAACTGAGAAATGTTCTATCGTTCATCCATCAATCCATCCATCCACAAACACACACACAGACACACTCATGCTGTAGATGATGTTACACACGTGCGTGTGTGTGTGTGTGTGTATGGATGGATGATAGAACATTTCTCATTTTTAGTTTCACTTGAAGTACTAAAATAACTACAACTAAATGTAATAAAACTAATAAATAACAATTAATAAATATGTGTATGTACAGTAAATGTGTGTGTAATTCCTTTAAAAAAAGTATTTAAAAAATGACAAATTCAAAAAAATTATACGAAATACTGAACAAACAAATGACTTAAAATAACACTGCATCTGAAAAGCACACGTGGCGCGTCTGCAGACTCAGGTGAGCTGTGTGGAGGCGATGGTTCCTCACCAGGATCCGGTTCTCCTCTCTGAGAGCGGCGCAGGATTTCTCCATCTCCTCCAGCGCCCGCAGAAGCTCTGAGTTCTGACGCACCAGGAACCCGTAATCCCTGCCATTCTGAGGAGAGGAACACACACAGACACACACTCAGATCAAGACACTCACACCAGTCTGCTTAAAGGGTTCGTTCACCCCAAAATGTAAACTCTGTCAGTAATTACTCTCCCTCATGTTGTTCAACCCCGTAAGACTTTCGTTCATCTTCAGAACACACATAAAGATATTTGTGATTAAATCTGAGAGCTGTCTCACTCCTCCATAGGCTTCTATGTTATAGAAACTGGCCGGCCCAGAAAAGTTATGAAAGACATCGTTAAAATAGTTCGAGTGACTACAGTGGCTCAACCTTAAGTTTATCAAGCGACGAGAATACTTTCTGTGCGCAAAAAACACACAAAAATAACGACTTTATTCAACTATTCATTTCCTTCTCTGTGGGCCTCGAGTGAGTTCTCGTAGTGTAACAGCGCAGCGCTTCTGTGTTGTACGTCACACGTAGGCTCGCTATTGGCCGACGCTGGTCATGTGTGTGTGTGTGTGTGACATACAACCCAGAAGCGCTGCGCTGTAACACTACGAGAACTCACTCGAGGCCCACAGAGAAGGAAATGAATAGTTGAATAAAGTCGTTATTTTTGTTTGTTTTTTTGCGCACAAAAAGTATTCTCGTCGCTTACATTACTTGAGTACAGTACTTTTGAGGGATCTGTACTTTACTCGAGTATCATTTTTGGGGAGTACTCATGACTTTACTCAAGTACATTTGAGAGGCGAATACTGTACTCCTTACTCCGCTACATTTCTATCCATAACCGTGAGTACCCGTGCCTACTTCTATAATAAAAAATAAAATAAAAATTCTCGGAAACCTCTCAAACGTGATTGGATTGTGCAGGCGCCACTGATTGGGACAGCCTATCAGCAATCACCTTCAGCTTTCCGCCAAAGTCAACTCCATGGTCAGATTTAGAGACGAAACCATGGATGAAACAATGGATGAAGGTTCATCCCGGAAATGTGCCAACCCGTTTATTGATTTGATTGATGAAAAAACAGATAAACTCACATGTACACTACCGTTCAAAAGTTTGGGGTCAGTGAGAATTTTTTTTTTTTTTTTTGGAGGAAAGAAATCAATACTTTTATTTATCAAGGACAGTAAAGACATTTATAATGTTACAAAAGATTCTATTTCAAACAAATGCTGTTCTTTTGAACTTCCTATTCATCAAAGAATCCTAAAAAAACAAAAAAAACTACAACTGACAGACCAACAACTGTTTCAACATTGATAATAATAATAAATGTTTCTTGAGCATCAAATCCTCATATTATACTGATTTGTGAAGGATCATTTGACACTGAAGACACTGACACTGGTGATGCTGAAAATTCAGCTTTGATCACAGGAATAAATTACACTTTACTATATATTCACACAGAAAACAGCTGATTTACGCTGGAATAATATTTAATACTATAACTGATTTTTGTTGTATTTTTAATCAAATAAGCGCAGCCATGGTTAGCAGAAGAGAATTCTTTTAAAAGTATTTAAAATCGTACCGACCCCAAACTTTTGAACGGTAGTGTACATACAATTCGCCTTTCGCTAAGCTCCGCCCCCCTTAGTTACTGTTGCTACGTACGACAAACAAACTTCATCTGGGCTCTGGTATCCACATGGCTTATGCTGTGACAGCTCTTCCTGCTGAAATTTTATCAAACTTTTATAAAGCAGCAAATAAACTGTCCGATAGAAGCATAGGCAAAAGGGGCTGCATTATACGTTCGAAGGCTATATTCACGACATACAGGTGAAACGCAAGGAACAACAAGGCATCCAAATAGAGGCAAAAGCATACCGGTCACAGTCAACAAATGACCCAGCGCATATCCTACTAATGGAGACGGAGGCTGGGACTCACAATATCACGGAGCAACACTGTTCATGCAAAGCTGGAGGTCTCTATTCACTTCTATAATCGTTATTACAAAGCAAACGGACTACGCGAGTATAACGGTGTATTTATTAGTAGCGTGTGCTAGACGACACTTCGGTTTGGGAAGGGGAAAAAACGCCCCCCCCCCCTCCAACCTCTCTGGGAAACGCGTATCTGTGTTACAAATGCCCCAGGCACAACGTTTAACCATATTTTTGATAAAACTACGACGGCAATAGCCGGCAGAGACCAAAAATATGAGACGCCTGTGTTAAAGGCAATGGAGCGCTGTGAAAAAGTGTCGGACCTCTGTGGGAGCTCGTTCTTGGCTGCGCTGTGATTGGTCAATCTACATTCTAGGGTGTGGCTTAGCCAAAGGCGAATTGTCAGCTGAATTTTCTTTTCTGATATTACACATTAATGTAAGCCGAGCATTTGCTTTGATGTTCTTGAGTGTGCGGTGTGTTTAACACAGTCAGGTTCAAATGTGGGTGCAAAAAATCCATTAAAACTCTAGCAGAGGTTTGTCAGAGCGTTGCCATTGTGCTATTGCCTTGTGGGCAAGTGAGAAATGTTAAATAAAGCAATATGGTAAAAAGATGAAAATGACTTGATTTTACTTTCAATTCCTTTTACATTCTCCAAGGTATTAACATTAACATTTTTCATAACTCCATGTAGGATGTTTCTGTACATAAATGTAAGCACTGTGGCAGTAGTAATGCAATATTTAGAAAATGTACTCTTGATACTCAAGTACTTTTAAAAACAAGCAATTCAGTACTTTTACTTAAGTAGACATCTGACTGTAGTACTTTTACTTGTACTTGAGTAAAATTTAGCAAGGGCTATCTGTACTTTTACTCAAGTAATGAAGCTGTGTACTCTGTCCGCCTCTGAAAAACACGATAGGCGAAGCTTGAATTTCCAGGTCCCTCTTTGTCTAATGTATTTTCAAGATGGATGCGCAACATGGCCTCCGCCATTCGAGTGACTCGCTCGTATGTATTCTAAATGGCAGATTATACACTTACGAGAATGCTTAATTAGTTGGTTGAAGTGATTACACATTAATGAGAACATATAATTTTGAAAGAACAAAGTGTTTTTTGCTAAAAATCAACTTAAAATCCCAATTTGGTAAGAAACGGAAAATGAATAACACATTCTACGGAGCCCCTAAGGGACATTACTTTGCATCAGATTTCAAGGAAAGATGATTGACAGGATGATGTCGGAGGATTTGGCGATTCTGAGCATGACAAGTATCTTATCTTGTGAAATGTGTACCGCCGCTACCTATGCACAGAGAACACGTGATCGTGAATCTGAGTATGAAAAGTGAGTGCGCATTCAAAAGTGATTTCAATATCCCGCATGTTGAAGCATATGTACAATATAATTATCCAACTATATGACTGCAAGGGAATGCAAAAGCATTGAAATATATTTTTCCCTCCCATTTCATATTTTTTTGTCCGTTTAGGGGCTCCGTACAATGCGTCGTTTTCTTTCCAAACATAGTCTTCGGGAATATTTTAGGTACTAAACCAAGTGGAAGAAAAAACTTGGTGAATCAGCATATATCAGCAAGCCAGATGCTCTCTAGTTAATGAGCTCAGTTTCTCCACTGGAAAAAACTAAGCAAAAAAACACCAAAAAAACCATGAATAGTTCAAGAACTCAATGTTAAATGATAAGACATCTTAACAAGAGCATTTCTGACATGTCCCTGTTGGTCTTAATGTCTCTTCTGCTCTTCATTTTCGCCATCTCCGACGACCCGCTGGCCGAATCTAACGGGTAACAGCTTTGATTTGTGTGTGTTTTGTTCGTGTCATGCCAGCTGGAACTGGAACGGCTTTCAGTGGCATTAATGTGAGATGTAAATACAGAGGAATAGACTTATTGTACAGTACAGCCTTTTTTATTGGCCTGTATTGTGGTACACATGCATGTGCTGTATTCATGCTTTTAAAATATAAATGAATACTTAGCCAAAATTCAGGAAACACTCTTCAAGGCACTCTCTTTAGAAAGATTAAAAAGCCTTTATTGTTATGGCTTGGTCATCTCAAACCTTTATTTAAAACACTCAAGTTGACTCCCTGACGAAGGCTTGTATGCCGAAACGCATCGGTTTAAGATGACGAAGCCATAACAATAAAGGCTTTTTAATCTTTCTAAAGAGAGTCCCTTGAAGAGAGTTTCCTGAATTTTGGCTACATATGATTATCCCATCCAAAGAGCACCTCAAGCTAACATTTTGAGACTTGTATTCTGCAAGGACACATTAAACTGCATTTATGTTACAAAAGATTTCAACAAATATTTCAAATAGATGCAGAGTCCGTGAGTTTTAGCCACTAGTGCATGAGCCAAATGTCCAACAGCTCTATTATTGAATCTATATTAACATGCACAAGACTGCAGGACACTATGTATTCAGCAGCGTTCATAAACACCGAACATCGACGGAGAGAGAAGCGGCCTTTGACAGGAACTCAGTAGCAGCACCTGTCTCTGCGAATGACTGTCCCAAACCCAGACTACAGCTCAGGTCCTGCCAAACACCGTGTGCCAAACCTGAGAGACGTCCAGATGCCCGACCGGCAGACCAGAGCAGCAATCACAGCCAATCAGATGTTACGGCTGCACCATTGGGGGAAGAAATGGTGAAAAAAAACGTGATTTTTCTGGTTAAAAATGTGATTTAAAATGTGAATTTCATTCCAAAATTAAAAAAAAAAATTATAAAGAAGGTTTGTTGTGCATGCTTGTAGGGCTGCACAATTTGGAACAAAGTTTTGTGCTTGTATATCAATATGACTAATAATATTTTTTATTAACATGATAAAAAATTAAAAATATGAAACTTCATAAGAATTATTACTATTGTAATAACACTATTTCATTATTAAATATATAGTATATTTATGTTATTTTACATAAAATTTAAGAATAAATATAATATTTTAAATAATTTAATTTGATTATTTTACGGGGAAAATGTTAACAGGCAGCCTATAAACTATAAATCATTAGAAAAAACACTTCAGTACACTGGAGAAAAAAAAACATTATCAGACGTTTACTTAAAGTTTCTTTAGATAG